TTTAGAATTGTTTTTGATGAATCTCCAACGAAACGTTCTTTGTTTCATTACACAAGTAGAATTGTATTTTTTCACTTGAATAGAAAACAATAGTGGACTGAAAATATTTATATTTTTTTGATGAATAGCGAGATGATGATTAAAGGAAACCAAATTTAATTTTTGAAATTTATGTTTCAAAATAATTTAAAAAAAAACAAGATATTAATGGAAACAACAATTTAGATTAAGAACGATGGTTGCAGTTAGTACAAAATTTAATTAAAAGTTCTATTTGCTTATATCTAAATATGATACATCCTCAGCTAGTGGAATACGCGTGTGTACGTTCTTCTCGTCCAAATTAGACAATCAAATACGTCTATTTTATTGTTATAAAATACTAAAACTGTCTATGTAAAATTATATAATCCGTGTGATGTATGGGTGTGGAAAATTTTTCAAAAAAAAAAAAAACGAATAGCGAAAAACAATAAAACGTGACCCTATGACAGTAAATAACATTCTCCGATACCGTTGCGTACGCTGTGTATATATAACAGCACTTTACACGCGTCATTAAGTCGACTGAAATGTCCAAACAGTTTCGATAATAATAATTGTTCTCGGAATATATCACATGCCGTTTTTACGAGAGGAGATTACGTGCGCGCGCATTAGCTCAAAATGGGATAAGTTACAATCGGGCACGCTATTTATTTTTACGTTTCCCCAATATGAGCACTGCACAAATGTAGTCATGTAATCATACTGATCATATATAACGTTCGTCTTATAGCAAACGCAAACCAATCAATGTAACAGGAAAAATGTGTTATATATTTTGTTTTAAACGTTTAAAAACAAAAAAAGATAATCACGCTATTTTACACTTTTCAATGATGGTATTAGTATTTTTTATTTTACCATACATAATATTATTAATTTTTTTTGTTTTTTTAAATTGCACAAAATATATTTTTATTTCAAATATTAACAGAGACGTTTTATTTTCATCGACGTTCGTTCACCGATATATTTCTGGTTTATATATTTCAAGTAATCGGTATTTATTTCAAAATGTATCAAATCAGAATAGAAATAATAGTTGTTGTATCTTTTTTTTTGTATCTTTACGGGCGTATAATTCACCAATGTTGAACAGTCTAACAACCGTGTATAATAAACTCTAGGGTGATATGGTCATCTTTTCGTACATATTAGGTACCTTTCTGTGTATAATAAGTTTAACTGATCACGTGAGATTTGATAAATTAATATAAACGAAGTATCCGTGTTATAATGACAAATAAATCAGAAAAGTTCCACGCATAACGGGTGATACTTTTCAATTTAAAAAATTTATACCGTTATCGGTAAACGATGTCAGATACGATTTGGGTAGGCACTCGGATGAGACACGGACAGTAAAACCAATAACAGCAATAAACATATATAAATTATCTTTTTTTGCAATATATTACTTAAATAATGCATTAAAAGTCAAATGAATCAAAATCATTATGCATTACTCGGGTACAACTTAAATTTATTATTTTCTTTCTTTCTAACGGTTAAATGTTTTAGTTAAATAATTTCTCATTAAACGATATAACATTTTTTTCTAATGTATAATCATGTCATAGGTACATTCAATTTTTTATCACTCCGCACTTTGATGGAAAACATTTAGAAAGCATTAGTCTATTAATTTAATTTTTTTCTCTACATTATCGTACGTTTGATTAATTTACCCCTCATACTGGTATCCATAAAGAGAAGTATTTACTTAAGCCCACACTATTAAAACAAAAAAACATAATTTTAAACTCCTCTGAAAAAAATTCATGTCATAATAATATTATTATGTCAGGTAAAAAATAAAAAATCAATAAAAATGGATTTCATCATATTGTAGAGTTACGTTGTACAATTCTAATTGTGTAGTGACAATTAATACTCACCGTCACTATCTACTGCCCTTTATGTATAGTCATTAATTGGACGAAGGTATTTGATTTGGGGAATAAATTTGAGAAAGAAGAATGGTTAAATATATATGTTATATATATATATATATATAGTACTTCAGAATATCGCTCGTCAATTATATGACCTCTTCGTAGGTCTTTATAAGAGAAAAATTTATCTATGCTGTTTGAATATTGTTTAAAAATGGTATTGAGTTTTTAAAACGTAGAAACAAAACTAGATTTAAAAACTGATAAAAATAGCTGCATAGGCTCAGCTGTCTCGCGAACTTCGCTGTGTTTTAATAATAGTGGAACAATCATCGCGAGGAACTAATGACATCGGTCAAACTTAAATATATCATTACACAATAATATTGTATTATGATGGCAAAGTATAATAACATTATGTTAGTAAAATTATATCGTATTATGACAATAATGCCGATTATTCGTGACAGACAAATAAATAAAAAAAAAACACGGTTTTTGACAATAATATTGGCCTTATTTGTCAAGACAACGCTGCATAATATTTCCACATAATGTTACGACAACGATAAATGTTGATGCTAAATTATTCAAAACTTCAATCATAGTAAAATATATTGTAATGAATCCATACTATAACTAATCTATAAATTATAAATTTTTCCTAATAGCGTACGTAAATAATGATTACAGTTATTGTAAATTAATAATATTTATAATTAATATAATAGTTATTTCGTTTAAAACGCGTACTAACGCTCCTAAAATGTATGTTGATATATGTATAGTGTGCAATAATATCTATCACTGTTTTGTATTATTGAGTATCGTATAATAAGCGCGATTTATATAATATTATATTTGACGATAAATGTTATCTGCGCGTTGTTCAAAGCACAGTGAATTTGGATAACGTTTTATGGTGATTAATATAATATTTTATATTTACCGTATGTAACGTGTTGTGCCCATATCGAAATCCTACCTACTCTTATTTACCCAAAAACAGAATAACAATCGGGCCGTAATAATAATAATATATAAGCGGAAACATTCGTATTGATTTTTTATCGCCACAAAAATCGCATTAGTAATATGCGTTCAAAATCGTGATCATTGATAGGTAGGTTTTATCTTTTTTTTTGCATTGAAACGGAAGAATGTACACGATTAATTTATTATTATCTGTCGAACTTGTGAATGTGTTGTCGTCAAATAAAATTGTATTATAAACACAAACATTTGGAGAGATCAAATCTATAACACACTATACAGGCATATTAAAGCTTATCTATTTAGCTTTCTTTTTATAACATTGATTATTATTATTATTATTATTATTTGACATTAAGTTATAAATTAATATTATGATATTAAAATTCAATATTATGTAAGAAAATAGAATTTTTAATAGATTAAAACGACATACTCACACATTTGAAAATTTTTTAATATCATTATACGATTCGTATTTCATCGTATTATCTGATACGATAAAATTTGAAAATCAATGATTAAAAAGAAAAAAAAACAAATATGAAACCATTTTTACCATTGTTATCGTTTAACATGAATTAAACTTAAATAAATCAAACAAATTCATTTGATGACTATATAATGTAACATAGCGTGTTACTAAGTCGTTAACAAAATGATTAGACCAATAAAACTTGGGTAAGTATTAATATCTGTGACCGGAAACCTTTTGGTACCTATTATTAGAAGCATGTTTAAAAGTGTTTTTAGTTTTTTGAACTACACGTTAGTAAAATTTATATTACTTGGTATAATATTGGATATAAGAATCGGTTATTAATAATAACTTATTATTGATATTTTATACGAAAACGTTTAAGTGGTTATTGCGGGTACCTAAGTATATTTATTTACGCACTGTATCCTAAACACAATAATAATAATTTTTTATATAAATTAAATTTTTTTATGGATTAAGATTAGCGTATTTTATGCTTGAATTATATATGCATTAAATCGTTTTAAAACATGTAATATATATTTTCGAAATATAAGTTAAAATATTATATGTAAATTTAATACATTATAAATAGCGATCGTAGAGGCATATTAATAACAAGTATATAGCTCTACAACATGAAATCTGTGAATAATATAGGTGACATGATGTGGTTCTTAATTTGACACATCACCTTGGGCACGTAATCTTCAGGAGACTGACAACACGACATCTCTCGGATTGGAAATTATTAAGTCTAGAAATATAATATTATAACGGTGTATAATATCGTTTCTCTTGAATTTTGTCACACTATACATTGACTACATTGTCACCCATTGACATAAAAGCTTATACCTACAATTGCTATTTTAAATATATTGTACTTTCAATAATATTCACCTAACGCTATGCACTTATATGAACTTTTTAAAATTAAATAAAACCATAATAAAATACATTTTCACTTAAATAAATGTAATAAATATAATAACAGCTCTAAACTTTGAATATACCTACATCTCAAAATTAAAAGTCAGAATATAATTAAATTTTAAATTTAAGAATAAAGATAGTTGTGAATGAAAAAATAAAAACCATACTGTGTACATACTGTACATATTATGCATGGGAACTAGAGATTTTTTTTTTTTTTTTTGGGAGGGTCAATCATTATGAGTGGCATTTTTGTGTATGGATGCATATTTATGTTAATGATTTTTCATAATAGATGTTTTTATGCTGTAGGAAAACTTATTCTTCAAAAATAAACTCATTATTATGCTGCGCTAATCATATGGGTAAGTACGTAATGTAATTGAACTAAAAAATACTATGTCCCCGGGGTATGTGAACATGTTTCTTGATCATAAAATATGTAATTTGTTTTTTATTTATTTTTATTTTTTTATTTTTTTTTTTTGTCAAATTTGTATTTCCTAATTTTATTATGATATAACATGTGTAAGTTTAATTTCAACTATTAATTAATAGACATTAATAATGATTTTTTTTGGGGGGGGAGGGGCACTTTTTTAACGTAATCATATTAATATATTTTGTAAGTACAATGTGACATGATATTTTAATACAATATATACATACAATTATAATTTATAATAAACTTACGTAGGTCACGTGACTATATACTACCTATTCAATTCATAAAACGTATGAGTGTGTAGATACTTATCTTTAAAAATGAAATCCATTTACGTATTAAATGGAATTGTATCATAATATGTATATAATAATAATAATATAAACGATCGGATCTCCACAATCGAATTCCCATGGAGATGATTTTTTTTATTTTTTTTTTTTTTTTTGAAGATCGAGGAAACAAATTTAGATTTTTTTACCAGTCGACCTGCATCGTGGTAATAATTGATATACGCGTTATGGACGGTCGACTCGACGTGTAAATAATATACTCACACGTGACGCCATAACAACAACAATAATAATATAACATCATACTATCGCAAACCACAGCGATTACTACGGCCGCGCCCACCGCATCAAACGTTGCTGATCCTGAGCATGCTCGACGACGGGCGGCGTTCGGCCGTCACCTGAGCGATGACGTTGTTGAACGACGGCCGGCGATCCTTCAGCGTTATGGACGTCGGGCACAGGTGGTCCATGCCGCACGACGTCCGCCGGCCGCCCGCGATACCGCCGCCGCCGAAACTGGAACCGCCGCCCAGCGACGTGGACGGCGTCATGAGGAAATCGCGTTGGCGGACGCCCACGACGAGACGACGGCTGGCCGAACGGCACGTCGCACAGGCACGGGGCCGGCGGCGTGTTGGTGGACGACGACGACGACGAGAAGAACCGTTTGTCGGACGCCGCGGCCCCGAGGCGGGCGACGGGAACAGGCCGCACGACCGGCGTTCCTTGACGCGGCCACGGACAGCGAACCGTAACCGTACCGGTGCCGGTGCCGCGCAACTCGCCGAACGGCAGCGTGGTCGCGGGCGCGGCGCACGACACCCGGCGCTCGGCCACATCGCGGGCCACGGCGGCCGCGCCCACCGTCATCGGCAACATCGACCGGCTAGTCCGGGCGGGGCCGCACTCGTGCTGCACCAGCGACTTGATGTCGGCCGCCGATCTGGCCTTCCGCGCCGGCCGGCCATCAGCAGTGGCCATTAGTGACCGGTCAGCCATGACGGGCCACAGGCGCCCGGCCAACGCGCCGCCGCCCGCGAATGAGTTCTGCCGTGGCCGGATTTGGAGGGCCCGATGCGTTGGCTGGATCGTCTGGAAAATCGCTGACGGTTCTAGGCAACTGTTCACGTTGAATTTTGAGAACGACGTGCGGTGCTGCAAATGAATAAATTAAAAAAAAAAAATAAATAATCATTTCATTTTCATAAAATAAAAAACCGGGCTGACTGAGCCGGCGAGATAACTACCGGGAAAATTCCCGGCGAGGAGCTACGGCCCAAAAATGTTTTATTAATATTATCTTTATGATAAAATAATAGGCACCTCATTTTTATTATTGCGAAACGAAGTTATTTATATTTTAATTACAAACACTTTAAATTACACAAAACAATGGGAGAGTGGGTACCAGTGGTAAATATCACAGGTAGTCGGGATGGACTGATGCGTAGTTAATGAATGAATAGCGAGCCTTGCATCCTTTCCTAGTATATTATATACATTTTTTCTATTTTTTCTATTTTCACGTGAGTGTAGCAAATTATAATATAAATTATGCATATAAGGCTACTCGATCGATCGACAAAACCATTAGATTAAGTCGTCGTAACTTTAACAACGTTATTATTGTGTAGTTATATATGAAATCGTCAGCTTATAGGAATGGTATACGTTTTATACAAATATTGTGGCATTTAAAATACACCGAGAATACCATCAAGTGCTAGTAGGTTTTATATATATATATATATATATAGTAATACAATTAATAACATTAGAAAATATAAAATTATTTTTCATAACGACTAAAAATAAAGATAAAATTGTTTATCGTTTTGATTATGGTAATCATCTAGGACAATACTAAATCACTATAGACTTGGTAATAATTACTGAAATACTTTAACCATAACACGTGTACGTGTATAGAATATATTATTAAATTATTCAACAATGAGTTACTTATTAAATTCATATCTGTTATATTTTATGTGTACAAATATGATTATTTAACGACTTAGTTTTTATTTATTAATAAATATGTAATAGTACAAAACTAGTATGTCAGATCACACGTATTGTGCATGTTTGCAGGTAGTTTTTATTTATTATACTCTGTCCGATTTATTCTCATAAAGTTTTTCCAGTAGGTTAACTTTATCTCCGGGCTATTTGAACTGTGTTCTTTGAAAGTTCTAAACTTGACTTTCTTACAATCGAGTAATATAGTTCTCCCGACTATAACTATTTTCAGTCGTAAACTAAGATGGAGAATAATCTTCTGAATCTTCTGATAAAAGCAAGTATACTGAGAGAACTAGATATTTTATGTTTTATTTTATTTTATTTCGTGTTTAAATCTATTTTATTTTCACAAAGTAGTGCGCATACTCTTTTGATAGCCTCATTATCTTTTAACTTAACTTCGGAGATTAGAATTTATGAATTGTATTAATTGTAGTATAAATGGCAAAACAACATAATAACAACCCATACTATTCAAATTAAAAATAGTATAACTTTTTTTTTTTTACAGTAAAATATAAAAAAAAAACATTAAAATCAATATAATAATATAGTATCAATGAATAAAAGTTTAAAAAATTTTATATTTCAATGACTAGTTTAAGTATATAAGTTGCCTATTAAATGTATCATTTATTTTGCCTGAATAATCTACATATTATATCTCCAACTTATATTTAGACGTAGTATTCATTTATTATCTAATAAGATTAAAACGAATATATTATAACAATATTAGAAAAAAGATTACAATGTAATCTACTTTTTGTTATTTGGAGTTTTTATAATATTATACAAAATTATTAATAATAAATTATTTATATAAAGTTTAAATTTTCTTGTAACAATGATTACGTGTAATGTGTATTAGGTTTTAGGTAATTATTTACTATAATCAGACAGATAAATACTTAAAATCCTTATTTTCGTTAATTTTATTATTTATGTAAATAAGTTATAATAGAATATCAGATAGGAAGATTAAGTTTTCTTAATTCTAAAAATCTAAGACTAATAATTTAAATTTAACTGTATTTATTTTAATAAAACTTTACTTTTTTACTATTTAAATACGTATTTGGGAACTAAAAAACAAAAAACAAAATTACACAAGAACTTTACATGCATTATTATACAAATTACAGATAATTTCATATAACTATGCTAATAATAATATGTTTATTGCACATAACATTATATTGTCATGGTAATAAAATACATTTTTATACTTGATCCTCAACAACTATAATTTTTAATTTTATTGGATATTTTACAGTTGTTTTAATTATGAATTATAATGTTATAAAAAATAATAATACCAAAAGAAAAAAATATACTAAGATAATTTTAATTAAATTATGTTGCAGAGTAGATATTTTTGTATTGGGTAGTATACTTTTTACATGTTATTTTCTCGAAGAAAAACTAAAAATAAAATAAATAGAAGTCCGTAGTATATAAATATGTACGTATATTGTCATATTATATACTTTATATAAATATTAAATTACTTTAACAATTTTTATCATGATTCAAATATTGTATGATATAAAGTTATACTTAATACACCTATGATTATTTCAGTGTTACGGCCTGGTAAACATGAACTTTTTAGGGACTAGTCTAATATTTCACTTGTCCACCTACCCAAAACTCAATAAAGGTAATAACTGTCATATTTTTAACTACCTTTTGTAGTAAGCACTAAAATACTAGTTAATACTAAATTATTATGCATTGGTATTACACACTCACTCATCTACTGCCCCTTAAAAAGTTTAGAAACCGGCCATCTCTCAAATAAAATTTTTACTGTGTCACTATCTTAGTTCTTATATTTAATTTATTGTATTTTTACCTTAGAGTAAAAGTTAAAATAGTAGCTTACTGTTTTATAAAACTTAAATAGCTAAAACAAAATGAATAAGATTTTGTTGGTGAATAATAAATAAATAACTAAAATAAAAGTTTGATACTAATTGTTAAATATATAATCCGTTACTTATAAGTTACAGGCTACAGTAATGTGGGATAAACGAATAACTATTTCGTTGTTAAAATACAAGAAACTTTTTGGGTAAGAAGAAAGCAATAAAATTGTAATAAGGCCATTTAAATATTAATTTCAACCATTTTTTTGGAATATCAATTCTCATTATTTGTTTGCATTTGAGATAAAAGCTTTATGAAATATTAAACACATTCTATTAAAACAATTGTACTTATTGCTTATGTTTAAAAAAAAAATCTGTGTGCATTTTATAAAACTTATTCATTACATTTTTTAAATTTCTTTTTGTATAATTACATTGTTTAATATATTTTACAATAGTTCTTTAATAGTTATAAGAATCGGCCTGTAAAATATTTAATACGTGCAATACATTAAGCACTAATTAAAATAAATAAAAAATTCAACTAATAATTAACAATAATGAATGTACTTACACGAAAAAATAAATGGATACATAATATTTTAAATTGTATTAGTTACAGGTACAAAATAAACAAATTGGTAATGATATTACAAAACTAAAAAAAAAATGTTTAATTTTATTTAAACTTTAAGCAATGTTTAGAGCCTAAAGATATAGTACATAAATTCTTTCATAATTTCATATCAACACCTCATCACTTTTGAGTTAGTGGATGTGTTAAGTCTTTATTTGAATGTGTGTTTCTTATACTATTAGATTTATGTTGAACACTCCAGCGTGATACTTAATATTTTAATTTCTTTAAATTTTGTACTTATAAGTTTTTATTTTATTCATTCTAGCAGTTATATTTACAAAACTATTTGATAACAATAATATAAAGTTGCTTTTATAATTTTTGCGTATTTTAAGTTTACAATTATTTTTAAGTGCTCCCACTGTCATTTTGATTTTTTATAGTACGCAATATCACTGGATAGTGGGTATTTACTTTAATTTACGGAACCCGATATATTTACATAAACTTATCTTTCATTTATTGAGATACATTATTTTTTAAATCAGTAGAGCCTGGACATAATAATATAATATTCTTTAGTGCGTTTTTTCTCAACCTAAAAGTCACGAACTTTTTAGAGGTCGTCAACTAAATTTTTAGGGTTACCGACATGTATAAAATATATATTTACATGTATTTACAATATATATTTGGGGGTCACCGTGATAAAAAAAGGTTGAGAAACACTGTTTTAATACACTTAATCTAGGTAATCATTAATGTCACAAGTTTGGTATAATCCAACATGTGATTTATTTGTTTGGCCTATCGATCTATATAGTATGTTATTTATACACATATTTTCAATAGTGTTTTACATTTTTACTTTTTTATATTGCAAATAACATTAAAGCTGTTTTGCGTAATAAACATTGATATATTTAACGAGTTCAGTGCATGAACTGACGACAATCACTTTTTTGATATAAAATATTATTGTATGTAGAGATCGTTGGCATAAATAGTTGATTATTAAGACATTTAAGATACAATACATAGTGCAACGTATTTGGTTTTTTTTTTTTTTGTTCAGGATTTCGCTTAAATAATAATGGCTTTAAAAGAATGCACCATTAATTATTAGATTAAACTAATTAATATAGATTAGTTTGAAAACACTAACACCATAAATCGATCTCCCGGTCTATATTCTACGACTTAACACCATAAACTGTACAGGATTGTGTTGATAAAAGGTGGTCATTTCATCTAACTTAATTATTTTTCCTATTCATGGCTCGGATTCAATTGTTCATAAGACGATTTTTCAACATTCAAGCTAGTAGGTACCATTTTCCACCATAGAGCAGATATATTATTAATCTTTCATTGAAGATTCATTTATATTTTCAATAAAATAAATGCGTTTAATAATTTAACGCATCCCGTAGTTTATCTTACTTTGATTTTAGTTTGGATAACCAAGGATCGCATGTCTTAATATTTAATAAATTAAACAGAATTCTTCCGCCTTAATTTTAAGTTCCGAATATAGACTAAATAATAGTATCAGCAGCTGGTCTGTTATATATTGCTCAAAATAAATCGAAAAATTAACGAGTATTTTCTATTGATAGTTACGAAATAGTAACAATATAAATTTTATAAATATGTTATATATAATTTTCAATTCA